CGTCCAGGTCCTCGGATCGTCCAGGTCCTCGGATCGTCCAGGTCCTCGGATCGTCCAGGTCCTCGGATCGTCCAGGTCCTCGGATCGTCCCGGTCCTCGGATCGTCCCGGTCCTCGGATCGTCCAGGTCCACGGATCGTCCAGGTCCTCAGATCGTCCCGGTCCTCGGACTGGACAGACTCACAGCTGTCTGTATGAAGTGGACAGAAGACAAACCTGGACATGAAGACTGATCAGAGACAGGACATAAAAAACTTTAGGATATTTTGTCCCTCGGGTTGTTGGTTCTGTGAGTTCCCTCTGGGTTGGAGAGTTCTGGGACCGGTTCTGGATCCTCTGGGTTCAGGACCACAGGCTGAACTGTTTCCTGTAAAAAAAAAAAAARTTTTTTAATCTGACGGATCAGAAGTCCTGCAGCAGGACTTCTGATCCGTCAGCGTTACATCATCTGCTGCACAATCTGCTTTTATTTTGAAGAGAAGTGATTCTGTGCAGCAGACCTGGTTCTGGTTCTGTTTGTGTCGGTGTGTTTTGGACTCCTCCTGTCAGCTCCCTGGTTGTGGGTCATTTTTAGTACTGTTATTATTTACACACAAATGTTCACTGACTTTTTGTAAACACACACACCTGCTGGTGAAAGAGCCTCGTTGATCCTTCAGAAGAGGAAATGTAAAAAAACAGGAGCAGTTTTGATCTTTTTTCATGTCAAAGTGCTTCTCTGACCGTGAGCTCTATTTATTAAAACATGTTGAAAATCCTTTTAAATGTTTTTATTTTATTTTTTTGATGACGTCATCACTTCCTGTCAGTTTGATCAGGTTCTGAGGTGGTTTTCCACCCTGTCGTCCAGAGCAGAAAAACTGCTGCTTTTCTAAGAGAATAATGAAAAAACAACAAATATCAGGATGTTTTTACCTTTTTATTTGACTGTTTTTGTTTTCTTCAGGTCCGTTTCTGTGAAACTTTAAACAGGATCCTTCGACATAAACAAAACGGTTCTGATCCAAAGGTTCAGTGGACTGTTTGAAGACCTGACTCATCTCAGACACACACATCCTTGTACTTGTATCAAACTGAGGACTTTGTATTAACATCCATTCACCATCCTAACTAACCATTACTAGTCTATTACTAACCCTAACCATTACTAGTCTGCTCCTTACACTATCCATTACTAGTCTATGTCTAACTGTAACCATTACTCGTGTGTTCTGAACCAGAACCTGAACCAAAACCTAATTATCAGCAGACCTAAACTTAACTAGTAGACCTGTAAACAGGTGAGGACCTGTAAATGTCCTCACTTTGTTGGTTAAAAATGACGGTCCTCACTCTGTAGCATAAACAAGAACACACACACACACATTTCTGACTGACTCAGTTTCATTAAGTCTGATGTTTTCCTGGTTCTGATCCGAGTGTTTTGTCTTCACATCGTAACCAGGACCGGTTCCTGGTCCATGTGGAGCTGGTTCCTGTTAGTTCTGACTCATGTCASTTTGTCAGAACCACAGATTTATTCTATCAGAATAAAAAAACCTTCAGTCTTGGCTCGGCCCGCAGCCGGTCCTCCTGGTTCTGATCCGTGATCCAGTARTCAAAATAAAACCAAGGCCTCCTAAGGTCCCAACAGAACCCTCTAGAACCCGGTCCAAAGACTGGTGGATTCTTTCTGTGGTTCGGTTCAGAAGCTCCTGAGAGTCCAGAAGAACCTGGTTCTGATTAATCTCTGGAGCTGGTTCTCAGAGGGTCCAGAACCCCCACCAGAACCAGAACCCAACACTTCAGATTATTTACTCAGGCTGACATCGCTGAAGCGTCTCCATGACAACAGCAACACACAAACAGAACCGTGAAAAATCCCCTCAGCATCACGTCCAGGACCTGACCCAGGCCAGACCCAGGTCCTGACCCCTCAAACAGTTCAGACCCACCAGAGACCGACCGCCTGATCCACCCTGAGGGTTCTGAGTCCAGACCCAAAGTCCTGACCTGTCAAACAGTCATGGGTTCAGACTGGAAGTCTAAAAGATCCAGGAGAAACCATCAGAGTCCTGCAGGGACTATAGAAACCATCAGAGTCCTGCAGGGACTATAGAGACCATCAGAGACA